TAATCTCGCTTGTTACGTTATTCACCTTGTGATACCAGATAGTCCCATCTATCTCGCTCGTACCATTGACTTTACTTTTACAAACTGTAACAGGATAGTTATGCAGTTACGTAGTTATTCTCTAGTTGTTTTTCTTTTGACGTTGTACGTTTGTTATAGTCTAAATTACACCTTCTCCGACGTTATACATTTATTATAAATTGACTTTAAAGTGTTACTCTCCGCCCCCCCCCCCCCCCTCTACGAATTATGACAAAAGTCATTAAACTAGAGTTATCCCCCTTGATATAAGACTACAGTCATCCCCCTTGATATAAGACTACAGTCATCCCCCTTTAACTTAAAAAACCCAGAACGAACCGTAGAACTCACCCCTCGTGTCATGCACGCGAGCTGGAATAGTACACATGGCCGCACTAAATTACCCGCCCCTGGTCTGAATGGAGCAGGAGGGGACCCCCCACCCCCTCTCCTCCCTGCCGACTAAACAAATCACCAACTCACCAGCCGTGAGTACTGACATCGCTCACACACGAAGTTCACGTGGCTCTTGTATGTATACAATGGTAAATAAATAAAGAATCATGTACGATTCATTATATTCTATTTCCCCACCCGGTCTTACACTCTTCACCTCCACCCCCTCATATACATAGCTTTGACGCGAATTGTTTTTTCAATACCAACAACTTAATGGTTTTCATTATATGACGTAATACACCAGAGCAAAGAAGGGAGAATGGTGGTTGAGACTTGTGTAACGATGTGTGACGAAATGAAGGGAAGGGGCGGGTGTTTAAGAACGAAATGTGATTAAAACATACGAGCCGACCCGCAGCGTATCATACGCCGCTATTTAGTTGTTTTATTTTCTACTTTTCAGTAATTCATAATTTGTGAATTCGACAATGCTGCCACTGAAAATATTTGCTTTAAAACACTAAACCCCCCCCCCTTTCCCCTAACCACCCCCCCCCCCCGTGAAAGCAGCCTCCTCTTAGTTATTTCTTAGTTACCTCCTGTAAGTTTAAAATCGAACTAAATTATCTGACCCTAATAGAAACCCGGCTCTAAGGATCTACGATTTGTAAACATTTAGCTTTGTAAACATTTAGCGTGACCACAGCTCACCAGACAATGTGGGGGTGGGGTGGGGGTGGTAGTGATAGTGATAGAGAGAAAGAGAGGGGACTGCAAGGAGGCGCTTGCAGCTTGTTTTCTAACGGCTCCCAGAAGAGAATTATATATATATATATATTTTAATATACATACACTTTATACGTATTTCATCGGGTATTGACTGAAATGTATGACTCGCTTTAAATGAAAGAACGTTGGGTGATGGTGTCATTTTTATGAAGCCATATACGTCTTTTCTACTTGTTATTTAATAGGCGATATCTAAACTGTAATGTGGGTTTTAAGTTTTACCTCAACACTAAGTTATAATTAATGATGTATCTCCGGGGGTGGGGAAGGGGGTAGATGGCAATTACCTGACACTAATTCACCAATCCTGATGTGTGAGTTTATACCCCAACTCGCATCTCAAAATAATTTTCCCTCCTACCCTCTCCACTTAATTTTACTAAGAAATCCCCCCCTCCCCCTTTTTCCTAACCACCCCCCCCCCCCCCCACCCCCAACGCCCACACGAATACTCACAAATTAACGCTTAACATACCCCGTACCCAAAATCCACAGAGTTGGGGAAGATAACTCTAAATTCACTCCACGTGACTAAGAATGCCAGTCACGCTGAATTTGACCTATATTTGTGTTCACGCACTCACATCCATTCAAAAGTTTTCTAAAAATAACCTGTCCGTTAGCGTGTCTATATTTAGAAACACTTCGCACCCTAGGCTTCCAAAAATATATGAATGTAATGCCAAACAACAAATGAAAAATTTCGGGATAGCCTTAGAAAAACAGCAATAGACTGGTATAATGGTACGGTATTTTTCTTTAGTAGGTATTTGTATGAAGGAAAGACGGACTCAACTTTGAATCGTTGTCGCTGATACTAAATTTATATATTTTTTAACCAAGCCAAAACGACTTATCGTTGATAAAATACTTATGTTTCTTTTAACTGAGCCAAAACCACTTAACCGTATTTCTTGGGCAATCAATTTGTTTTTTCAAAAATAAATAAATAAATAAAATAAAATAATCCGAAACTAATTAGCGTCTTGGCAGACTTATGATACATTGGGGAGTTTGCTATCGTAATTAAAGATCCTAAATGATTACAAATATTTGTTTTCAAGTTATGTTAGAAACAGAGTTTCTTCCGGGCATCACTTGATGGGGGGGGGGGGTTAGTACACTCCCCCGGGAGGAAAAACTCTGAACAAAACAATGTTACAAACATGTCATTTTGGATGTATTTCAATTTTGTCTAGCAGATGTGTAGAGTTAAAACATATAAACTTACACAGTAAACAATAATGTTGGATTAAGTTACAACATACAACTTTACACAAAAAACAATGTTGGATTAAGGTCGAACATACAACTTTATATTCAAGAAACAACAATGATAGTTTGTTACAACATACAACTTTATATAAAAACATACAACTTTACAAAATAAACAATAAATTTGGTTTAAGTTACGTTGCAACTTACAAGCTTATACAGTTAACAATAATGGTGGTTTAGGTTATGTTATAGCGTACAGCTTTATACCATAGACAATTCTGGTTGTTTAAGTTTCATAACAACATACACATTTATATAATAAACTATTATGTTGGTTTTAGTAGTATATATGTTTTGGCCCTAGATCCCCATATTTCAAGCATCACAGTTATCATACAACATCACACAATTATATACACAACATACAATTATATTTGTAACATAAACACTATCAAATATTTTTCTTCCTCTACCCCAACATCCGGTCAAAACAACATAGGCATTGAGCTAAAATTAACACCACGCGCGGTGCCCAACGATAAAAAGACACATTTAATCAAGAGCAGACTCGAGCATCGTGCCCGTATTTCCGGTTTCTCGCGAGACAAAGAGAGCGTAAAGAAACCCAACGTCTTTTTGATGTTGTCGCACCTGGAAGAGGTGTACCGGTGTGTGAGCAAGGTGCCCATAACTCACCTGGAGAGGATGTTGATCTAAGAATAATAAAAAGTTGAACGACCCCATGTGTATAGTTGCGTATAGTATAGCAGTTACGAAAGATAAATACAGGAATAATTTTTGTTTTACTGTCCTGGATATAGATCTCTAAAATATGTAAATACACGGGGCACATTTATAGACATAAGGAAATAAAGTAAATGTATAATTATAATATAGCTATTTAGGGGAGTAGCCCAAAACCGAGTCCGCTGGAGATGTGTGGTTGCAGCCCTTTGCTCCCCAGTGGCCAAAAAGGAATGATGATAATAAAATAGCTATGTTACTGAACAAAAACACGTTTTCAAAAACAACATTGTTCTATAAGATAAAAAACGAAATCTAGAAATATGTCTCTATGTTGGGTTTGATTTATTATTGTTACATATTGTTTTATTTATTTAATTGTATGCATGGTTGCTTCACGAAATCATATTCATATCATTTTAGCTGTGGATATTTTTTTTTTAAAGTAGTATTTAATAAATATTGCACGCATTTTACCCCTAAATGCATGCTATATGTATTGCTATCTTACAGTCGATTATCTCCCGGCTACACATGATCGTCTCCCTTTGATAGTTGTTTATCTACATATGACAGTTGATTATGTCCCTGAAATAGTCGATTATCTCCCTGCAACAGGCGATTTCCTCCTGTGACTGTAGATTACTTCCGCCAACACACTCCATTATCTCCCCGCTTTAGTTGTTTATCTCCCCATTACCGTTGATTGTCTCCCCGCTACAGCTAATTATCTCCCCGGTGCAGTTGATTATCTACCCATTACAGTTGATTGTCTTCCAGTTACAGTTGATCATCTCCCTTCGACTATCGTTTCTCTTCGTGCCATTCTCGATTATCTCTCTCTTATGCAGTCTACAGTTTCCCTGCGACAGTCGCTTTATCTCACTGCCATAATCGATCACATTTCTACAACAGCCTATTATCTGCCCAGCAGTCGATTATCTCCCCGCAACAGTCGATTATCTCCCCGCAACAGTCGATTATCTCCCCGCAACAGTCGATTATTTCCCTGCGACAGTCGATTATCTCCCCGCAACAGTCGATTATTTCCCTGCGACAGTCGATTATCTCCCCGCAACAGTCGATTATTTCCCTGCGACAGTCAGTAATCTCCCTGTGTCCGTCTTTTGTCTCCCCTTGTGTTTAGCTCTGTTTTGACACAGTCTGAGTCGAGTGTTCCAGCCGACCAGTCGTCTGCACTCGACAGGTTCATGCAGTGTGCCCCCCCACCCCTAACTCCCCATACCCCCCCCCCCCCACTCCAGAAAATGTGCTAATGGTTAACCGCGTAAATTAGATTAACGACGTTTTCTCTCACCGCAAAGGAATAAAAAAAATGAATTGTGGTGCCGTGCTAATTAAAAGATAATTAAAATAAATAGGCGTGTATCGAATGTTGCCTAGACCTAGGTCTGGTCGACTGGGAGGGTCGGGGGGGGGGGGGGGGGTAAGGGTGATTGCCCACACATTAAACACATGTATATGCAAACCTGATGCAAACGTGAATCCATACATAGTTGAATATATAATAGAATTTTGAGATTCAAGGTGATTTGAAATATATTTCTGCTCATTAACCAGGGGTTACCTAAAAGTACTTTATACAATGTATTATTTAGTTTAAAATTAATCAAATATATTCTTTTCAATATTATCCCATTAAAATCATCTCATTAAAATTATCCAATTAAAATTATCCCATTTAAATTCATTAAAATTATCCCACTAAAGCATCCCATTAATATTAGCCCATTAAAACACTGCATCTAGAAACATAATTTACCTGATTTTTTATGTTATAATTTCTCTTTTTATTCTACAGAGAAAGGGTCACAAAAAAGGGGAGGTCATTTTGACTGTACCTTCGCTACCTTGGAGTAAATGAAATCAAGTTGCGTCATAATTTGTTTGACGTCAACATTCTCCAGCCCAGCCAGTTGACCCACGTCACACTCAAAACTTACGTCATCGCACTCTCGTCCACGTCTTTTGTCCACGTCACCACACGGCGCTATACTTCCACACCGCCGGTCGTCATGGGAACAGACCAAACCAACACACTTCGTCATTTCCGGTTTTTCTTTGATCGTCACGAACCAAACACCCATGTTCCCCAGCTACAGTTTTAGTGTGTAGTGTGTTACCCGTGTGATTCGTGTGATTATGGATGTACCGGCCATTTTTATCGACAGCCATAAAGACTTTTTAAACAAGTACACGGACCCTATAGACTTGTCCAATGCGTGTCGAGCATTCTACCGGTCGCGTCTAGAGGTGACGAGGAAGATGAGGGAGAAATGGAGTAAAAATGGGGAAGATACGATGACGGAGGGTGAGGGAGTGAGGAGAGGAGAGGACGGGACGTTTCTTAGGGAGTGTGGCGCTAACGCGCGCAGGAAAAATTCGCTGGATCTGGCGATCGGGGTGTTGAGACAAGAGATGGTTTGTATATTTTTCTTAATTAATTAGATATATGAAAGGTGCAGTTGATTAATGAATAGTGCAGTTGATTAATGAATGGTGAAGTTGATTAATGAATGGTGCAATTGATTGTAGTTTTTTTAGTGGAGATGTTCCGCAAAATCTTACTCACATGCACAGACGAAAGAACACGTACAGTCACATTTCTACGCACACCCACCCACCCACACACACACTCACGCACACGCCCAGATATATTTTTACGCACACCCACACGCACACACAAACGCACACACGCACGCACACGTCCAGTAATATTTCTACCCACTCGCATACGCAAACACCCATCCACATGCACGCAACCACACTTACACACATACACACAAATCCACAAACACGTACAGCTATTGTTGTTCTAATTTCTGACCTTACAACCTGACAATGCCACTGATATGTCAGACCAAACACATGGGAGATAAGAATGTTTTCCTAATAGAGATAATCCATGTGTCACTGAGTACACCCAGCTCTAATTGGTACCTGACTACAGTCGTGGAAAATAAAGGGGCTAATCATTTTGATTACCACTCGATTTTACCCTATGTCGATATCACAGAAATATATGCAGTTTTAGATTATCAATCCCATAGAACTTTAGGTCTTTAAGGGAACTTTTAGATAATTAATATCTATATCGTAATAAATCTTATAACTATTTTAATTTAAAATCTGTTTCATACCGACAATTATAAGTAGCATACATTCTTATAGTATAGTAGGTAATAGGTTAATACTTCATATAATTAAAAACAAAACCAGATCGGATTCGAACCTGCCTTCATCCCTCTTTAACCTCGTGTTAAAAAAGGCGTGTTTGTTATATAAACATCGATGCTATTTTTACTCCAATCTTCCAGTAAACAAAAATATCCTTCTTGACCTTATCTTAGCGAAACAACAAACATCAGTGATTACACGAACAAGCTATCATGGGAAACAATGTATACATTGTGTTTGCAATACAAGGTTTTCACGTGTAAATTTTACCATTAGTGTATGCAAAGAAATGCGAGTTATTTCTATACGAGATCTCTGTTATTCCGTTTTTTGTTTTGACTACATTGAAGTTATTTTTTAAAAAAGGTTTATTTACATCCAGGACAAAACGGTCAAACTTGAAATAAAAAAAGTTAGGCCTAATGGGTTGAAGTACAGTTTGTGTTTTGACAAGCTCACGGTTCTGTGTTGTGTAAAAGTTGACGTTGAATGGATGTTGTCTGTTGATGGTGTGGGAAAAGTGATGTCGGTGTAGGTGGACGAAACACAGGATTGTGACCACAAAATTGTCAGGAGTCGAACAACGGCTCGAGCTTTTTTATTATTGAGACTATTTTAAATGGCTCCAACAGGCTTCTTGCATTATTTCTACAATTTATACACACACTTAAAGTGTATTCATTAGTGATCTTAAACGTTGGCCAATTTTTAAAATTAGTGATCACATTTGTGTTAGGCACAATCAAACTCACCTTTCTACATTCAATTATTTCCTATTGTTTTTAATTTCCCGAGGGGAAACAATACATTTTTTCCGGGTAGAGGGAATAAAGGCTAAAGTGGGAAGTCATCTAGAGTGGAAGAGTTTAAGTGTGTGTGGGGAGGGGGTGGCACAATTAACGTGACGTAATTTATGGACGATTCATAAACTAGAAGTAATAGTTACGATCTTATTAAATGTACAGTTCAAAGTGCAATTAAAGAAGTACATCTGTGTCTTAAACTTCGGCAAATGATGCGAGTGTCGTGTAGGTAGCTAACCTCGCTACCACACTCAAAATATTATATACAAATTCAGTAGATATTGCTTCATATCCGTGAAAAAAATTAAAACACGAACAATCTTAAAAGAAATAAAATCCAAAGATAAAAGTTAAAGTTTTCTTCTGGTATCGCTTTTAGTGAGAGTTAAGTTTCCTGACAACGATATCAGTACCATAATATCGCCTATATAATATCGATAGACGTAAGGGAACACAAATATATTGTTGCATGTCCATTAGCAAATGAATAGTATGTTATTACGCTAGATGTAGACAGTCCTGCTGGTATAAGCAATTTAGAGACATGTGTTTAGCATGGTCATCTATTACAACCTGTTAGCAATTAATACGCATAAATAAATAAATATATATATATATATATATATATATATATATATATATATATATATATATATATATATATATATATATATATATATGTGTGTGTGTGTGTGTGTTTGTCTGTGTGTGTGTGTTTATGTATATATGTTAACATCTAATGTATCTGAAAACTTGCGTTAAATTTACATCACGTACCATCACCTAAAACCTACAACTTGTATTGATAATCCCATGTCAATCAACGTTCAAGGTCTTAATCCCCACGTAACCTACATACATTTTCCCTTCTAACGTACACAACCAAGTCTCTATAATGCAGTCCTATTCATATAAATTGTCAGTGACTTAGGCTTGCCTTTCCAATTATGAGTTTACACAATATTAAAAATGCAATACTTCGGGTTGTTTACTATTGTTTTCTTGTTGTGCTGTGTCCAACACTGATACCAATCCTTAGCTAGTACCTTACACTTGCTACACACTGAAGTTACTCCATGCTATAACACACTATCATTTTCTTCAATAGCAAGATTTCAATAATTTTTCTCTCATCTAACATGTCTCTGTTGTCGTCATGTATACGTATGTTCCTCTGTTCCCAACAATTAACATATGTTCTTCCGTGCCCTACCATCAAACCAAGTGTCCCTGTTTCCTATCATCAACGGAAGTGTCGCTGTTCTCTCTTATCAACCGATATGCCTCTGTTTCCTACCATCAGCCAATGTTCCTCTGTATCCTATCATCAACATGTCTTCCTCTGTTCCCTACCTCCAAACCATTTTTATCTGTGTCCCTACCACTAATAACATGTTCCCCTGTTCCCTACCATCACCCCATGTTCCTCTATTCCCTACCACTGCAACCGCTGTTCTCCTGTTCCCTACCATCAAACCATGTTCCCCTGTTCCTTACCACTACAACACATGTTCCCTAGCATCAACTGATGTTCCCTTGTTCCTTGCCATCAACCCATGTTCCACTGTTCCCTACCACTACAACCCATGTTCCCCTGCCCCCTACTACTACAACCCATGTTTCCCTGTTCCCTACCACTACAACCCATGTTCCTTATCACTACAACCCATGTTCCCTACCACTACAACCCATGTTCCCTATCATCATCCCATGTTCCCCTGCCCCCTACCACAATGTTCCCCTGTTCCCTACCACCACCCCATGTTCCCCTGCCCCCTACCACTACACCCATGTTCCCTACCACTACAACCCATGTTCCCCTGTTCCCTGCCACAACACCCCATGTTCCCCTGTTCCCTACCACTGCAACCGATGTTCCCCTATTCCCTACCACTACAACCCATGTTCCCCTGTTCCCTACCACCACCCCATGTTCCCCTGCCCCCTACCACTACACCCATGTTCCCTACCACTACAACCCATGTTCCCTTGTTCCTTACCACCACCCCATGTTCCCCTGTTCCCTACCACCACCCCATGTTCCCCTGTTCCCTACCATCACCCCACGTTCCCCTGTTCCCTACCATCACCCCATGTTCTTTTGTTCCCTACCATCAACTCATGTTCCTCTGTTCCCTACCATCACCAAATGTTCCCCTTTTCCCTACCATCAAGCCATGTTCACCTGTTCCCTACCACCACCCCATGTTCCCCTGTTCCCTACCACTACAAACCATGTTCCCTACCACTACAACCCATGTTCCCTACCACTATAACCCATGTTCCCTACCACCACCCCATGTTCCCATATTTCCTACCACTACAACATGTTCCCCTGCCCCCTACCACTACAACCATGTTCCCCTGTTCCCTACCACTACAACCCATGTTCCCCTGTTCCCTACCACTACAACCCATGTTCCCTACCACTACAACCCATGTTCCCTACCACTAAACCCATGTTCCCCTGCCCCCTACCACTACAGCCCATGTTCCCTACCACTACAACCCATGTTCCCCTGCCCCCTACCACTACAACATGTTCCCCTGTTCCCTACAACTACACCCATGTTCCCCTATTCCCCACCACTACAACCCATGTTCCCTACCACAACACCCCATGTTCCCCTGTTCCCTACCACAACACCCCTTGTCCCCCTGTTCCCCACCACAACAACCCATGTTCTCCTGTTCCCTACCACCCCCCCATGTTCCCCTGTTCCCTACCACTACAACCCATGTTCCCTACCACCACCCCACGTTCCCCTGCCCCCTACCACTACAACCGATGTTGCCCTGTTCCCTACCACTACACCCATGTTCCCTACCACTACACCCATGTTCCCCTGTTCCCTACCACCACCCCATGTTCCCCTGCCCCCTACCACTAAACCCATGTTCCCTACCACTACACCTATATTCCCCTATTACAGGCCACCCTAATGGAGCAGGACCTCTGCCTGATGAAGCAGCTTCTGACCCTGAACGAGGAGATCGAGGACCTCAAGTGGCGCCGACGTCACGTCTGGAGCCGAACCTCTTCCTTCTGCAGCTCAGACATGATCCAGTCGGCCTCGTCCCTGGGACGTGTGGACGAGAACGTGAGTCGTTCGTCACGTCACGCTGGGTTTATTTTTTGTGACGTCACGCTAGTTTTTTTTTTGGTGACGTCACGCTAAATTTTAGCTTGACGTCAAAATAATTTAGTGTGACGTCAATTTTTTTGTAACGTCACGGAGATATTCTTGTGACGTCACGGTTCATTTCAGTGTAACGTCACGGTGATATTTATGTGACGTCACGGTTCATTTCAGTGTAACGTCACGGTGATATTCCTGTGACGTCACGGTTCATTTCAGTGTAACGTCACGGTGATATTCCTGTGACGTCACGGTTCATTTCAGTGTAACGTCACGGTGATATTCCTGTGACGTCACGGTTCATTTAAGTGTAACGTCACGTTGATATTCATGTGACGTCACGGTTCATTTCAGTGTAACGTCACGGTGATATTCGTGTGACGTCACGGTTCATTTAAGTGTAACGTCACGGTGATTTTCGTGTTACGTCACGGTTCATTTCAGTGCAACGTCACGGTGATATTCATGTGACGTCACGTTGAATTGAAGTAAAACAAGTTACATATTAGTGATGGCAAGCTGTAGTTTATTTAATGGCGTGAGACCCACATTTTTGTGATATAACTCTACATGTCGTGACTTGTATTTTTTGTAATGAGGTGACACATCTCTCTGACATAACGGCCTGTCGCTGATGATAAACTAGCGTGACTTGTTTTAATTAGATACGAAATGTGTTTTTTTTAATCTGTCGACCGTTTTTTTAAACTTTAAATTCCACATAGGATAGGTTGCGGATGTGTAGCATTAAAACGGATCTGTTTACGTAAACTATAGACAGAAAATATAACAGAATAAATAATAGATATTTTGAATAAGCAAGTTTGTTAAGAACTAATAGTAAAAATAACACTTCGCACATTTCACACTAAGATACATATTTTTTTTTATTTCCAGATTTGAGAAGAAAAAAATTAAATAACATTTCCATAAATTATTGTTTTTCTGTTCCACAGCAAACCCTCAAGTTCTCTACCCCGTCCAGTTTATCGCTGCAATTAGAAGGGATCTCAAACCGGTTTTCTGTCTACAACGACGAAGACCCGTATGGGACATTCAACAGGAAAACTCTAGCTAACAAGGCAATATCCGCCTACAGACCCGCGACCAACCCCATCTCCCCACTCGCTGTTTCTTATACCAGAACATCCGCTGTTCTCGACAACATTGAGACGGACAACAGCGAAAATATAAGATTACTAGAACAGAGCAGTAGCATTAGTTCTAAAAGATCCAGCCTCCTCAGCACAGAAACACCTGGCTCGATAGCAGGGAATTCACAACAGGAAACAATGAATACTTCAAGTGCTTCCACGCTCCCATCAGTGAATTCTTTGAAAGATCGCTGTTACCATAAAGATAAAAGAGATATTAAACAGCCTTTGACCAACTCCGAGCCAAACTCTAAAAAACATTTTCCCAAACTTTTGGAGACCGATATGGACTCGCAAGATTCTGGAATTCATGATTGCAATAGTGGTTCTTTGTAGCATTTCCGTGTAAAACATTCATTATGTATATTTCTATTAATACATTCATTATATATATATATATATATATATATATATATATATATATATATATATATATATATATATATATATATATATATATATATATATATATATATATATATATATATATATATATATATATATATATATATATATATCTGTGTATATGTACAAATATGTACATTTATATAAATATTTGCTTTAATTATGTATATATATTGCATAAGTGTAGATACTACAATTCATATAAGTGCAATTTCCTGTATTTTCTATTTCTAGGCAATATAAAATAGCTTGAAAGTACACAACCTTTTTTTTTAACAAAAGCAAATAAATCGGGACCATAAAGTGAAAATTCTTAGTAAAGTTGAGTTTTCTGAGATAGTAAAAAAATCACAATGCCACTTTCTACATTACATGACTTTTCTTTGTGAGCATACATAATGTATTCAAACCCAGGATTTTTAAACACATTTGGTTACGTAGGTTTAAGCAAAACCTTTTTGTATATATCAGGAAGGAGTTTTTTTTCTTCTGTTTCTTGACTGTTTTTTTTTTTTTAATTTTGTTGTTTCATTTTGAACTTTTAAAACTGATTTTTTTAATATAGGGATCTGGTTTTTAAAGTAAGGTAAAGTTAGAACATTTTTTCATGGTGTACCAAAGATTGCCCGATAGGGCCATTGTGGGTAGTTGAAATGACCATAGTAGGTAGTTAAAATTAACACATTGGGTAGTTGAAATGACCATAGTAGGTAGTTAAAATGAACACATTGGGTAGTTGAATGACCAAAGTGGGTAGTTAAAAATGACCACTGCGTGTAGTTAAAATGACCAAAGTGACTAGTTAAAAATGACCACGGGGGATGTTGTAAGGTTCACAGATTTGTAGCTAAGAAAACCAAGATCAAAGTTAGATGATATTAAGAATTCACATCTTTGGTGCATTTGAAAATATAAAGTAATAAAATTGAAACATTTTTTTCAATAACGAAACAAACGCATTTGTTGAATAATTATATAATATTATGTATGTAATTTGAAATAAATAAAAAAACGTGTTTTCTTTTAATTTCAGAATTAATACTAATAGTTTCGCTGTCTGTGTATCTATCTATCTATCTGTGTATGTATCTATCTATGTATCTTACAAGAACGCTCTAGAGAAAACACAAGGAAATTAAAAACATGCATAGTAATTCGAAAAACGAAGTATGACGCGGTCACATTTAGCATAGAGTAGAAAATAATCTCAAGCCGGAGAGTGCACACAGTAATATGACGTCATTGATTCTCGAGTAAACATTGAATAAAAAGGCAATTTTGTCTAATCTAAATGGTTTGCTGTGAAGAGTTTCTTGCACACAATTCTTCGGGTAGAGTAGAAAATAATCTCAAGCCGGAGAGTGCACACAGTAATATGACGTCATTGATTCTCGAGTAAACATTGAATAAAAAGGCAATTTTGTCTAATCTAAATGGTTTGCTGTGAAGAGTTTCTTGCACACAATTCTTCGGGTAGGGGCGAAGCCCCATCCCCGCTTAAGAACATCTGAGCCCCCCTCCCCAACTCAAAAGAAATTTCTTCATCGATACTCTATAATAAAATTGGTGGTGGTGTGTGTGTGTGGGGGGGGTGGTTTTAGTTTAGAGAAAAGGCACAGCACTATCAGCCTAGCGCCCGTTGTATCCTTCCTCAACGGGCCATTTTTCTCGTGTTTTAAATATTTCTACTTTTGTGTATGAAGTTTGCATCACAGGTTTTTGCTTTGTTTAATTGATAACATCACACACACAAACACATAGGCCTTACACTAACAAACGTGCGTACAAAAAAGAGAATAAAGTATACGATTATGTTACATGTCCTGATCATCTTTCACCGACGAGTCAAAGCGGCCGTTAACTAACAGCTTGACCACACCCACCGCGTACTCCGCAAGCCTGGCCGTCCCCAGGGTCTCCTGAGCCAGACGGGCCAGTCCCCTCCTGTCCACCCGGCCGGGAGACGCCTCTGGAAACGACTCAAGAAACAGGACCTCCGTAGGACAGAACGTGTCCTGTTCGTCTGCCACGTACTGACTCCGGAAGTGGGATTGGATTTCTTCTTTCGTGACGTCACTGCCGGGTTTTCTTACCACGCATGCGCAGATGTTGTGGTAGTTGACTTTGTCGGGTATAGGAACAACAACGACCTGTTTAAAAAATAACATTCGATACTTATGTCTAGCACGTGTAAGCTACTAATGACAAAAAGTACGCTTAATTAATTTTAATGTTAAGTGATAGTTTCCTCTAACTACAGCAAATATAATTTCGGACATCGATCTTCGTCGATTTTACTACGTGCTGTCTTACCTACGAGCCTAACGATTTGATTTTTTAAAATACACTATTCCATTTAGGGACAGGCTTAGTCGGGTCGGTTAAGCTCATGGTTGCTAAATCGAAATGTCCCGGGTTAGAACCCCTGACAGATGGTGACTCGATTGCTAGTCACCAAAACCGATCCAAAAATTTAAAAAAAATGCTGCCTTGTAGTTTGTTCTTGGTTGGACAAAGGCTATAGAAGAAAATCCATAAAGAAAAGCAGGCTGAAATCGGAGTCAACGTCCAGCAAGGCGCATAACAAGTTGACACGCAATACCTAATCGTGTGTGAGGAAATCCCAACCGACATTACAATTAAAAACAAAGAAGAGGGAGAGGAACGTGTTCCTGTTGAAGATCGCCTTAGTTGAAAGACTATTACCTTCAATTTTTTCTTGACCTTTCAACAATAATGCCATTTTTATAATTATGTATCTCTAAACCTTAGGATTTTTTACAACAAACTTTAAAAAATAAATTAAATACGCATTCAACCACAAAGCTAAAAAAACACATTAAAAAATTAAAATCTTACTTTTTCAACGTCCTGGTGTGTCCTGATGTCTTTTTCTATCCACGACGGATGAATGTTAAAGATGTTGTGTAAGATCATGTCGTCATTTCGGCCGCTCACAAACAAGTGTCCGTCTTCTCTCTGTGAGTACAAGTAGTGTTAGATGCACGTGTTGGGGATACAAGTAATAGAAAGTACTCACTAATATAACACAATGTAGGGTAATTATTAGAATGGCCACCAAGGGAAGTAACTAAGGGAAGTAACCAAGTTTTTTAAAGAATTACAATCTGTTTATAGATTTGTTGAGTTATTATATAAATGCATTTCTTTAAAAGAGACACAGTAGAAAAAATTTGAGACGGAAAAAAGAGAAAACTGAAAATATACTCAGCATGTAACGGAGTGCTCATTAAGAGTACTGAGTAAGAGTATTAAATCGTGCCATCTATGACTTAAACCTACAGACCAGAATAAGTACCAAATCAAGCCATAAATGACTGAACCCTACAGACCAGGTAACCAGCATCAGAAGAGAGGAACCATCCGTCAGGTGTAAATCTGTCCTCTGTGTCCTGTTCAGGTTGTCCTACATACTGTCTGAACATACCAGGTGTCCTCAAGGCAAGCCGTCCTGGTAGAGAGAGTGAAACCATAGACTGAGTGAACGACGACACAGAGTTTTAGTGACGATTATGGTGGGATTTGGGGTATGGCGTGGGTGGATGGTAGCGCTTACGATTGCTAACCCGAAAGTCTAGAGTTCGGACCCCAGGCTGGAGTCTGTAGAACATATCTGAGTCCACCCAGATCTGATTAGCAGCTAACGCACGTTAGGAAAACAATGACGGTTGGGCAAAGTGCTGACTATACTATCCGTCATATGCCAAGGTCACTGAAACAAATGAACTCTACTTCATTTGGCCCATGTTTTTTTTTAAGACGAACGGGAAAAGAGAATGATGATGTGACTTAGATTTCTATTTTGTGTGATTGAAAGCTACTGTAACCATGTTTAATTCCGTCTCGGGAACTAAAATTTGTTTTACTTATGTAGTGTCATTACTAGCCCAAATTGTGCGTTTAATGGTGCACAATGTATGCCTAGAAAATTATGAGTTTAGTTCCATACACCATGACCACCTAGCTCTAAAGGGTACCCAATTTTCAAGTCGGCTGATCTTGATGCTGACCGCAGAATCCGCTTCAATAACAAAGTGAAATTATCGATTAAACTCTACACATTTTACCCTTTAATTGCCAGACTTATTTTATTATTTTACTTCATGTAAATCTCGCTGAATTTCTATTTTCTGAAAGCATTAACATATTTCTTGTCCTTTAGACAATTTATCACCAATAGTTTGTTGTTAGAATGATCGGAAATACATTACACTTCGAGGTAAATTTTCATAAATTTTCAGCATTCAAATGTCGCTAGAAATCCTGAATTATTTCAACTTGCCTTGTTGTCCCGAACCAAGAACTGTACCATCCTCGTCTATGACTTGAATCTCCACGCCTTGAAGTGTAAAAGTTGGAACAGTTATTAAAAGGATATTTATGAGAAAAAAACAACAACACAACAACAACGAACTTAAACGTTAGACTTGGAGTTATTCTAATAGTATTTTAAAACATTCAACAGTTTTTATACACGGGCTATTGTTTTAACTTTTTACTATATTTTAATAATTTAAAAAAAATGGCGCTTTAAATATTTTTGAATGGTTTTAAACCTTAAATTGTAATACATCTAACAGGCTAGAAGAGGGTATAAGCCTGTTGAATCTTACAATGTAGATTGTAACATGCCCAAAAAGACAAGTCAAAACTTAAATAACTGCGGGTTAGGCTTTCAAATTTAAACCTTTTATACACAGCCAGTAAAGGATAAGCTATACAAGATGTAGCTAAGGACCCTCATTTTCTTGGGGATCCCCTAAAAGTATATTCTTTAAACCATGGTGGACAACATGTCGCCATTAATGTAGGCCTATTTAAACAATGATACACATTTTTTAATTTGAAAAAAATATTTAAAAAAAAACAGCAAATATTCGGCACTGGTAAATAACATCTTGTAAGGAGCCCAAAAAAAATCAGCTAAGGGCCTAATCTAGTTTAAATCCTGCCCAATTCACAACCTCTCATATCGAATCAATCTAAAAATGTGCATCACCCTAAAATGATGTTAAGGACTGTTGTAGTTCCTCGAGTATTAAAGCAAGTGATGCCATGCCCCGATATTATTACAACGACTATTATTTCAAGTGAACTTTAGTAAAAAAAAATATAAAAATTTGAAACTTACTTAATTTCCATTTAAAAAACATTCGAAAAATTATAATTGTGCTTTCAATTTCCAACGGAATAAATACAATTCCTGCTAATTCACTTAGCTTAAAGACATAAATAAACTTAAATCTTCATTTCTGTACCCTTCACACACACCCCAAGAACAATAAATATTTAAAACGTCACTCATTTCCCATAAAACTACAAACGAACCTGGCTCTAAAACGCCGGTATCAAAGTCTGGGAAATCTCCCTCGTGACGTAAGCTGTTAAAACTGACGCCCTGGGTCTCGCTGGCCAGGTAACGAATGGTGAGCAGAGAACAAGCTGGCATCAACGGCAGGATAGCAGCCCGGGATATTGGCATGGCACCTGCAGGGGTAGAACTGTTTAGGTTTTGGAGATTTTCTATAAACGTTTCATTTCTGTAGGGCGCTAAACAATTTAATAGCACTTTAAATTTGAACAAAGAGGAGCAGGGTTACGTTAGGACAATAATAGCCCGGTATGTATGAATATAAGTAAATAAGTATGTATATATATATATATATATATATATATATATATATATATATATATATATATATATATATATATATATATATATATATATATATATATATATATATGCATATACATATATATATATATATATATATATATATATATATATATATATATATATATATATATATATATATATATATATATATATATAAATATATATATATATACACACACACACACACACACACATATATATATATATATATATATATATATATATATATATATATATATATATATATATATATATATATATATATATATATATATATATATATATATATATATATTAAACACACACATTTGAATGAGCGGTTACATTTTATGACCTGTGAAACTATATATCTTTAATAAGGTACGTATAGTACGATAAGCAGAGTGTTTTTCAGATTTGTCGTGTGCCTAAATGTCTGTGCCCCTTGTTGTTTTGTACGGAGCATAAATGTCTCGAGTCAATTTGATGGGAGCCCATTTGACGGGAGTCAATACGTCGGGGTCTTTTGGACGGGGCTTTTTTGACAGTGCCGTTTCGTTGGGGAACCGTTTTGTCGGGGTCTTATTGACGGGGTCGTTTTGACAGTGCGCCGTTTTTCAGGCTATATTGTAGGAGGGGGGAGGGGGCGGCCATGCGGGCGAAATTAAAAAAAAATGCATGTAGAGAAAAATTTCAGAAAGAAATACTAAAGAAGAATTGATGTCATAAGGTAAGTACCTGTTAAAATGTGTCTACCTGTTAAAATGTGAGTACCTATTAAAATGTGAGTACCTATTAAAATGTGTCAACCTGTTAAAATGTGAGTACCTGTTAAAAGGTGAGTACCTATTAAAATGTGTCAACCTGTTAAAATGTGAGTAACTGTTAAAATGTGAGTACCTGTTAAAATGTGAGTACCTGTTAAAAGGTGAGTACCTATTAAAATGTGTCAACCTGTTAAAATGTGAGTAACTGTTAAAATGTGAGTACCTGTTAAAATGTGAGTACCTGTTATAAGGTGAGGCACCATGGGAAGGGGGCGTGGCAACCAATGCGCCAGGACGGCCTGGGCGTCCGCCGGGACCAGCCACGCCATCTCAATCGTCTCGCGCTGGATGACGTCAGCCAAAAGCTCGTGCTGGGTCCGTGCTGTGGACGGGCGCCACCTGTCCAGGCTGACCCTGGTGGTGCCCCACACCAGGAAGTCCCCGGGGGTGGAGGACACCCAGGAGTTGGGTGAGGGGTAGAGGAAGTTCCGCGCACCGTTCAGGTTGTCCCTAACTGAAAGAGCAGTTCGATAAATTAACGTGAAAAGGATAGACATTAACGACAGGGGGGGGGGGGGGGGTGGTGGAAAGGGGTAACAGAAAATTACCGATTTTCCCACTGGTCCACTGTTAGACACTTAATATCAATACATAAACTGTGTTAACAAGTATCTCATAAACGATCTTCATTTATGAAAATGAGTAAAGTTTCAACCAAACACCCTTGCCAAGAAACTAGAAATCAGTGTTTCTTTTTTCTCCGGGGGCGGTGGGGGGGGGGGGGGGAGTAGAGGGCACGTGATATTATCGGGGGGGGGGGTCGGACTAAATTTTATTTGGGGGTTGGGTTGGTGAACACTGGTAAAAGAATACATTTTCTTTATAAATTTCCATTTCTATTTCGTTCGGGGGGGGGGGGGAGATGCCTGGAAGAAACACTGCTACAAATGTTCAGTATTAACCAATACATATTTTGTTTCGACTCCCACTTTAAGAAATAAGAGAACGTTGCCAATACACATACATCTATATGAGTGTAGAGTGAGGGTGGGGGGACGGGTTGAGCGCTTACATGACTCTGCACCCTGGATGATCCCCCCGTGGGTGTGTCCCACCATGCAGACGAGCGAGTGAGCACTTGCTGTACAGAACACCATGCACAGGTCACCGGGTCCAACATCCGGGTCCACATACGCCTGTGATCTAGATTTCAGGTGTTGTAGAAAACCTGGATTGGAACTGGTGTTGTCTGGTGTGGATAGGTGAGAAAAATAATATTGCGTCAGATGTTAGCCAATTTGAACATATACATATAAGAATGCTTGTAATTGAAATAAACTGAAATTGAATAATTGGATTTAATTTTAAACGTTTATCTAGAACAGTGGTTCTTGACATTTTTGAAAGTACCGAACCCCACCGGTTTCAAATTCACATTCACCGGATCCTTTTATAGCCCGCACTAATTCCGATTGTGAATCATGAGTCTTGACCTCCACTGAACGCCTAAGACTGACTCACCGAATCCGTGAGGTTTGTACGAACCCAGGTTAAGAACCACTGATGTTGAGTACTATATACACACATGAAATACTTATGTTTGAATCTTCAAAATAAATAAAGGGTTAGATTCGTATATATATATATATATACATATACATACATATACATATATATATATATATATATATATATATATATATATATATATATATATATATATATATATATATATATATATATATATATATATGAATATTTTAGTATTATATTTCAAGCTAGTGAAAAATATCTCAAGGAGTCATATTTCGAATATACAATAAAATTACAAATGAAACGCTTTAGATGGCGGTTTATATAAAAATCTATTTTGCTAGTGTAATTTTATTCGATACGACTCTACACATTGAGTTCTTATTAAGCATGAAAACAATAAGGACATTCGTCGACGGTTAATAGTAAACTGTGGTCACTATGTTTGGGCTACCTGAGAAAACTTCTAACCCAGTTAATAGTGAACTGTGGTCTAGGACTGGGTTACCTGAGAAAACTTCTACACCAGTTAGTAGGGAACTGTGGTCAAGGAATGGGCTACCTGAGAAAACTTCTACACCAGTTAGTAGTGAACTGTGGTCAAGGAATGGGTTACCTGAGAAAACTTCTAACCCAGTTAATAGTGAACTGTGGTCTAGGACTGGGTTACCTGAGAAAACTTCTACACCAGTTAGTAGTGAACTGTGGTCAAGGAATGGGTTACCTGAGAAAACTTCTAACCCAGTTAATAGTGAACTGTGGTCTAGGACTGGGTTACCTGAGAAAACTTCTACACCAGTTAGTAGGGAACTGTGGTCAAGGAATGGGCTACCTGAGAAAACTTCTACACCAGTTAGTAGTGAACTGTGGTCAAGGAATGGGTTACCTGAGAAAACTTCTAACCCAGTTAATAGTGAACTGTGGTCTAGGACTGGGTTACCTGAGAAAACTTCTACACCAGTTAGTAGTGAACTGTGGTCAAGGAATGGGTTACCTGAGAAAACTTCTAACCCAGTTAATAGTGAACTGTGGTCTAGGACTGGGTTACCTGAGAAAACTTCTACACCAATTAGTAGTGAACTGTGGTCAAGGACTGGACTACCTGAGAAAACTTCTAACCCAGTTAATAGTGAACTGTGGTCAAGGAATGGGCTACCTGAGAAAACTTCTAACCCAGTTAATAGTGAACTGTGGTCAAGGACTGGACTACCTGAGAAAACTTCTACACCAGTTAGTAGGGAACTGTGGTCAAGGACTGGACTACCTGAGAAAACTTCTAACCCAGTTAATAGTGAACTGTGGTCTAGGACTGGGTTACCTGAGAAAACTTCTACACCAGTTAGTAGTGAACTGTGGTCAAGGAATGGGTTACCTGAGAAAACTTCTAACCCAGTTAATAGTGAACTGTGGTCAAGGAATGGGCTACCTGAGAAAACTTCTAACCCAGTTAATAGTGAACTGTGGTCAAGGACTGGACTACCTGAGAAAACTTCTAACCCAGTTAATAGTGAACTGTGGTCAAGGAATGGGCTACCTGAGAAAACTTCTAACCCAACTCACCTGACCTCCTGACGATAAACGCCTTTTCCAGGAAGTTCAAGTTGGTCGCGTTCTTTTTGACATGCGCAATAAGGTCGTCGCCACTAGACGAGAAGTTGCTCTCAATTAACTTCCAGTTTAAATCTTGATCCGAGGTTGAGGCGATAATATACCTGGCCTTGGTTCTGTAATATATTCATGAAAACTCATTCCTACACGTTTAGGAAGTTTAATAGACGTAACGTTGCATCTACGTCAAAATCGAAGTATCTCTGTCCCTACATCGGCTTACCTTAAAGCTTACATAATCTTACCTTTGCTCCTACATCGGCACACCTTTACTCAAATGTCGGTATACCTTCACTCATACATCGACTTACCTATACACCTGCATTAGCTTTGGTGTACTACTACACCGCTGTACCTATACTCCTACACCAACTTACCTACACTCCTACGCCAACTTACCTACACTCCTACGCCAACTTACCTATACTCCTACACCAACTTACCTATACTCCTACACCAACTTACCTATACTCCTACACGACTTACCTATACTCCTACACCAACTTACATATACTCCTACACCAACTTACCTATACTCCTACACCAACTTTCTTATACACCTACAAAAACTTACCTATACTCCTACACCAGCTTACATTTTCACTACATTGACTTACCTATACTCCTACACCAACTTACCTATACTCCTACACCAACTTACCTATACTCCTACACCAACTTACCTATACTCCTACACCAACTTATCTATACTCCTACACCAACTTACCTATACTCCTACACCAACTTACCTATACTCCTACACCAACTTACCTATACTCCTACACCAACTTACCTATACTCCTACACCTATTTACCTATACTCCTACACCAACTTACCTATACTGCTACACCAACTTACCTATACTGCTACACCAACTTACCTATACTCCTACACCAACTTACCTATACTCCTACACCAACTTACCTATACTCCTACACCAACTTACCTATACTCCTACACCAACTTACCTATACTCCTACACCAACTTACCTATACTCCTACACCAACTTACCTATACTCCTACACCAACTTACCTATACTCCTACACCAACTTACCTATACTCCTACACCAACTTACCTATACTCCTACACCAACTTACCTATACTCCTACACCAACTTACCTATACTCCTACACCAACTTACCTATACTCCTACACCAACTTACCTATACTCCTACACCAACTTACCTATACTGCTACACCAACTTACCTATACTGCTACACCAACTTACCTATACTCCTACACCAACTTACCTATACTCCTACACCAACTTACCTATACTCCTACACCAACTTACCTATACTCCTACACCAACTTACCTATACTCCAACACCAACTTACCTATACTCCTACACCAACTTACCTATACTCCTACACCAACTTACCTATACTCCTACACCAACTTACCTATACTCCTACACCAACTTACCTATACTCCTACACCAACTTACCTATACTCCTACACCAACTTACCTATACTCCTACACCAACTTACCTATACTCCTACATCAACTTACCTATACTCCTACACCAACTTACCTATACTCCTACACCAACTTACCTATACTCCTACACCAACTTACCTATACTCCTACACCAACTTACCTATACTCCTACACCAACTTACCTATACTCCTACACCAACTTACCTTTGCACTACATTAGCTTACCTTTGCATTACACCAACTTACCTTTGCACTACGTCGTAAAATGTGTCCCCACTGGCCATAAACACCTCCACCGCCACGTTGACGCCCCCCGCCATCAGCACCCCCATCGTCGCCACAGCCGCCTCGGGGCAGACGTCAAGCGTGCTCAAGACGTACTCGCCTCTCTGTAGACCTGCGTCACGCAGAAGTTTCGAGAACCTGACAGAACACAAGTTGCTCTCACACTCATTGCTAGTGTTTCAAAGTAAATTTTATTCGCACCCAAATGGAACCAATCACACTCAGTGCTAATGTATCAATGCACATTTACTTCACAGAACAAGTTTCATGAAACTGGTTTGCTTAAGAAATTCTAACCTTAAGCAGTTGAGCATGCATATTAAATATGGAAATGATGTTTAGAAAATAGTTTTAAGATAAAAGAATCAGTTTAATAATTAATTACATAATTTATTTTTTTAATAATATTTGACAGATTGTTTGAAATGTTGCAAAGATGGTTCAATTGTGTATCATTGAATGTTAGTTTTCTTAGTTACTTCCCATTTTTAAATTAATACTCTACCAAGGGAGACAGACTAGAAAAATGTTCTAATAATCGTAAAAATCAAGGGGAATTTTAATATTAAAAAAGTAATAAGTTTTGGACGTCGTTTATGATTGGTTTAATAATAGAATTTTAAATTTCTATAAGCAAAATAGCGTTTAAGAAAAAACAATTGGAAAATTTGAGTTGTGGGTAGAATAAAACTTAAGCGAAAAGTTTGCTATACTCATATCCTAAAACGTAATGATTGGTAATTTTTATTTAAATAGGTCATTCATAAATATTAGCAACGGTAATACTTTCTTTCTATTTAGAATTCAAATACTAGAGAAGCATTATGTCAGCCATTAAAACAGAAAATTTCAAAACAGACTAATAGAACTCACACAAATGAAGTGTTGTTGAAACGTATTTAATTAAATAAAAAAAGAATTCAAATACTAGATCGTTTATATGTTTGAACGGGAAGAATGTTTGCTTTGATGTGTCTCATTGTAATAACTTTTCCAATTGCTTAAAACTTGTATCATTTTAATTCTCGGTAATCCCAATTTATTTTTTCAGCTCTACTTAAAAACCCAAATTCCACACCCTCCCCCCTCCTCAGCCCACCACGCACGCCGAGAAAAAAAATCCCTTGAATCATCATTTAATTACACATTTGCATTTTCAGTTTCAGGTTATTTTTTATCTTTTATTTTTTTTATTTATATTTAGACGTTTTGTATTAGATCTATGTATAAGTAAACCATCTTAAATGAATGAAAGCAGGCTACAAGTAAGAAAGAAATATTACTATTGTAAATCTGTATCAGTCCTCACAAGCCGATGATGAAAACTGAAATACTAAAGCGAAGACACAACTGACGCTATAAATTACGAGTCTGAGGCGAAAAAAAAAAGTGAAAAAAAAAAAAAAAAAAAAAAAAAAAAAAACAACTAGATCGTCCAATTAAAATTGATTTTTTTAACCAGAAAATGCAAAAGGTTAATAAAATAATGATTTAACGATCTGAAAATAGAAGGGCATTTTTTCTGTAATTTTCGGTAGGGTGGATTTATGGTGTATGGGCTTATTGAAATAACGTTTTTATAAAAAAAAAATAATACTATAAATATTACAAGTTTAAAAAAAAAATACAAAATACAAAAGTACTTTTTCGGTGGAGTTAGTTGAGTGAATATTGGCTTATATTTAGAGCTGAAATCAATTTAGGGAGTAAAGAAAAATTATATTATAAATATTACAAGGATAATATGTGGAAAATGCATAAACAAAGGCATCAAAAGGATAACAGTTTCTCGGTAGAAAATACCATCCTACCTCACATGCAGTACTCAAATTGATGGGAGACAAATGTGAGGAAGGGAGTGTTACATATTTCAAGTTCAGTATTGATTTATAAACAATGTGATTAACCTGAGTTTTCAGCGATTGGGAATGAATATTAAATACGTAAATGATGTTAAGAAAACAGTTTTAAGTTGCAATATATATATATATATATATATATATATATATATATATATATATATATATATATATATATATATATATATATATGCAAATCGAAGCTAAAGCTGAGAGGGGGGGGGGGCAAAAAACGAAAGTAAAGAGGGGGGTGCAAATCGAAAATTTTTCCCCGCGCCGGCAAGGGTCGCTACACCTCTGATATATATATAATGCTGGTGAAAAGCCGGACACAGCGCTTGTGATCAAACACCAGTTGATAGACCACCTGTGATCAAAGACCCTCTGCTGAGAAAACACACGTGGTCAAACCCCCTATGGTCAAAGCCCTATGATCAAACCCCCTACGGTCAAAGCACCGCTATGGTCAAAGCACAGCTGTGGTCAAACCGCCTATGGTCAAAACCCCTATGGTCAAAGCTCCGCTGTGGTCAAACCCCTTATGGTCAAACCCCCTATGGTCAAAGCACCTGTGGTCAAAGGTCCGCGCACCAGCTCTATGAACACTTACCTGGCCGATAGCGTGTACAACTCCAGGTAAGTCAAGCTACACCTGTGGAGGTCGACGTCATAAAACACAAGAGCCTCCTGCTGTGGACATTTGCTGACCTTCACCTCCAGCTGAGAGATGACCGTTGTAGACCTCACCTCGGACATCGTGGTGTAATGATAATATCTCTTGGACTAATGGATGGCTTCAAATACAAGTATAGTCTTAGCCTTATATGGCATATTTTTTTTTAATGATACTAGTATTCATATGTACGGAAAAAAACCCACTATTATCCCTAGGGCTAATGAATGGCTTTAAATACAAGTGTAGTTTTATCCTTATATGGCAAATATTTAAAATTTTATTAGTATTCCTAAATACCGAAAAAACCCCACTATTATCTCTAGGAATAATGGACGGCTTCAAATACAAGTGTAGTTTTAGCCATATATGGCAAATATTTAAAACGAGCCGGCCCGCGGCATAACATACGCCGCTATTTAGTTGTTTCTAATTTTCAATAATTCATAATTTGTGAATTCGACAGTACCAACGCTGACACTGAAAATATTTCTTTAAAACACTATAAGTAGCTCGTTAAGGACCATAACCCCCCCCCCCCTTCCTTCCCTCCCCCCCTCCTCCCCCCCCCCCCCCTACGTTTAAAATCGTTGGCTCTGCTTGTAATCATTTAGAGTGAACACAGCTCACTAAAACCATGTAGGGGTGGGGAGGTAGGGAGAGCGTTTGCAGCTTGTTTTCTAACGGCTCGAAGAAGAGAATTATATATATAGATTATATTAGTATTCCAAAATACCGAAAAAAAAATGTATTTTTTCTAGGAATATTGGATGGCTTCAAATACAATTATAGTCTTTTGCACTATATGGTATATATTTTTAATTATATTAGTATTCTTAAAAACCGAAAAAAATATTTCATTGTTAAAGAAAGAAAGACATTTTTATTTATTCGTAAACATATGCTTATGAAGAATGGGTAAGAAACTGACTTTCCAATTCACGAATATTCATCCACCTGTTAGAGATAAACTTTACATGCCTGTGTTAGATGTTTTCTTTTTTACGATTAGTCAACCAACAGCAACGACAGCAGCTGTAATTGTATCCGCAGGAGCAGCAAAAACAACAGCAGCACAGCACGCAGAACAGCAAACAGCAGACAACGATGGTCACCAATATGGCGATCTCGGCCCAGTGTGACATACAACTAGGGGCACCACTAATCACTAATGCATTTCATTAAACTCGAAAATTATCCTAATTGACTAAATGCAATCAAGAAAGTTTAAATATTTCAAAATTATAGATAGCAGTATATATATATATATATATATATATATATATATATATATATATATATATATATATATATATATATATATATATATATATATATGCATAGCAGTATCAAACTATACGTCCAAAAAAAATAGAAAATAAATAAAATAATTAAAGCTATAAATGTATAGATTACTTAACTAACATCTAAACACACGATTCGACTAATCCCATTGCATTAGGTACTCATTCAGCGACACGTTTGTATACTCAGGTAAACATCACTCACCAGCATATGGCGATAACCTGGAGCTTTTCTCACACACACGACAGTTAAGCCCATTAGAGCCAGCATCGTTTGACGTGGGACACATTAACTAGCTGATGTTGTACCCAGCATCAGATATCGGTGTGACAATATCAATTACGATATTGATCTTTTTTTTTTCAACTAGCTGGTTTTTAGAAATGATGTCCTAATTGATTTCCGTAATGTCAGGGATATTAAGTAGTCGATAAAATACAAGGCTTAAGCTGAGGTTTTGATAGAGAATTAGGGCTGGATCAATACGGCGTGGTCGAGTCGGTAAAGCTCATGGTTGCTAAACCGAGAAGTCTCGAGTTCGAACCCTCGGGCAGATGAGACTCGTTAGCTGGGGACAGCCATTCTTCTAGGAGAGACAACTCCAAAATCAAACAACTGCTGCCTTGTAGTTTGTTCTTGGTTGGATAAAGGCTATGGAAGCTAATCCAAAAAGAAAAGCAGGCTAAAATAGGAGTCAATGGCCTCAATAGCGCATTACCAGTTGACACGTAATCCTTAATTGTGATGGAGGCGTGGTCGAGTCGGCAAAAAGCTCATAGTTGATAAATTCGAGTTCAAAACCTCTGTCAGATAGGGCTCGATCCCTTCCAACACCAAAAATTAAGAACGAAGAAAAAGAAGAAGATTACAATCATATTTGATCACGAAAACAATAGTCTACCCAACAAATACGTTGTCGATTCATAATTACAAACATTGCCATAAGGTCCAACTTAAGTTTATATTGAATTTCTATAAAATAGCTGAAAACTATTTAACAGTATATCAATATGGACATGTATTACAATGTTTAAATTGGTCGTCCCTTCATTATTAGGGATCCAGAAATAGAGAAAACAATACTAGGAACGCTGATTTTGTTTGAAAGTAATCTTATTTACATAAACTGATCCTTCATTAAAGAAAATGTGTTAAATGTTTGATCGACATGTTGTGTTAAGTAGTATAAAAGTTATCGAATTTATTTTGATATGTTTCGTATTAAATATAATATAATGACTATATATATTTGATGTAATAAAATTTATCTTCCTGTATTGTGTTTTTAATTCATGTTTTAGTTCTGCATGATTATTTTACCTATTTGTTTTAAAGTAGTTTCCCTTGAATTCAATTTTCTTAATTAAATTATTAATGGGAGATAATTTATTTTGCCGAATTCTACATTCACATCAAAATCCTTCATCGTCGCTTAAAAGCTTACTTGCAAATAAACTTTAAGATTACAGATGAGCCTACATCGGTTATTTATTATAGTAAAAACAGCAGTAATTTAATACCTTGGAATGTAATAATTTATGTAAGGATCTATCCCGATAGATGTTTATGGCTGAGCGATCAATGGGTATATACAGGCTGGAATTTATAACCATCGGTGAACATTTATTAATTTACTTTTATACACATTTAAAAAAAAAATTAGTTACCATATTAAGCAACAACTTAAAGGTTACCAGAAGTTGATTTTCTTGAACTATGTCCCTTAGTTTATAGGGATAAAAAATTTATAACAAGTATGTATACTCTTTATACAAAGAAACGCACGCTATCGAAATTGCCTAAAGTTTTTAAAAAACAATTTTACGTAATTGAAATATAATTACATTTTACAATTATAGAATTATATTCCGATTTCGTAAATTGCAGATTAGTACGAATTTTTATATTGTAATCTTTTAATTGATTGCTTCTGTGGTGTGACAACATTGCCAAATTTCATTTTTATTTTTTAAATATTTTTTCTTATTAAAAGAAAATGTACAAATGATATTGATCGATAATATTGCATTACGCGAATACACGTTGTACACACGTTTTAAATATATAACACCCCGACATCTCATTAAATCTATTTTTCGTGAATTTATGTTAAGATTAAAAAAAAAAATAAAAGCTATTTTGTTTTAGGGATCCCCCTCCAACACAATTAAGGATACGTGTCAACTGGTTATGCGCCATTGAGGCCTTGACTCCGATTTCAGCCTGCTTTTCTTTTTGGATTTGCTTCCATAGCCTTTGTCCAAACATGAACAAACTGTAAGGCAACAGTTGTTTGATTTTGGACATGGCGAACTAAGGCTTTCTTGATGATGCTTCGTGCACCAATGGAATATAATGATGATGATGATATGTATAGACACTTTATTTCTTAAAAATAATTTAGTCATGTAACTCTGTTATAAATAAAACATGTAAAGTTCTTTTAAAAAAAAATCATAAAAACGTTTTAATAACAAGCTTTTATGTAAAAATGCATAAAAGGGAAAAAATAAATTAAAGACTACTATTTAAATTACTATAAAGAAAAGCGTGGGTCTCTTCCTAAATATTAGTAAAGATTTCCAATAGATACTAAAGTGGCCCACGCTTTTCTTTATAGTAAATTTAAATAGTAGACTAGTAGAAGGAAGATAACCTCAAATTACTACTTTACAAAATTTAAACGAGTAGCTTCCCTTACAAAATAAGTTGAAAACTATGAAGCCCCTTAATTTACTCGAGTATAGTTGTGGTGTTAAGGGGAGTTTGGTTTGGTTTTCAGTGCAAACTGTAGGCTGGGCAATGTTCAATTCGTCTTCTCCTTCGTTCTTAAATGTATTATTTGAGAGGATTGCATCCAACACAAATAAGCATTTCGTGTCAAACATGTCATGCACAGTATGGTCCGTTGACACCTTCTTCTTCTTCTCTTCTTCGTTCTTAAGTTTTAGTGTTGGGAGGGATCGAGCCTGCCAGAGGGTTTGAACTCGAGACTTTTTTTTTTCGAATTTATCAACCATGATCTTTGCCGACTCGACCATGCTTCCATCACAATTAAGGATTGGTTTTGCGCCATTGAGGCCATTGACTCCGATTTCAGCCTACTTTTCTCTTTGGATTTGCTTCCATAGCCTTTGTCCAACCAAGAACAAACTACAAGGCAGCAGTTGTTTGATTTTGGAGTTGTCTCTCCCAGAAGAGTGGCTGTCCCCAGCTAACGAGCCTCATCTGCCCGAGGGTTCGAACTCGAGACTTTTCGGTTTAGCAACCGTGAGCTTTACCGACTCGACCCCACCACGCCGACCCCCCGCCCCCCCCCCCCCCCCCCCCCCCCCCACCCCGTTGACACCAATATCAGTTTTCTTTTCTATCTGGATTTGCTACCAAAAGCAAATTGGTTAATTTCTGAGTTTTCTCTCTAAAATAGGTTGCAGCCTAAGCATACCTTGGTCAAACATTATAACTTGGATTACGGAAAAGATCCCCTCGCCTAATAATATTCAAAAACAACTACGGGTAGCATACGCTCAAGACACCAATAATAATACGTAACAATGTGGTGCCCCTATTACACATCCATAATACATTTATAAATAAATCATTTTAAGTTACATTAATTGATACATTAACACCAATATTCAATAATACAAAAAAAATATAAATTACATTATTGTTTAACATCTTTAAATACTATTATAGCATGTTTTATGAATAGTTCGATTTTATAATAATAATATTAGTTTCTTATCTATACGCCTGATTTGTAAATTTAATACAG